TAGGAGTTCCACTACCAGAATCAATCTCTCTAAATGTCACCTAAGATTTTCATCTACATGTACAACCTCATTTACTTATAGCCTAACATCCGTTCAGTACACATTACTCTGAGTAGATTGAAGGCTGCACATTATCATGTATGTCTTGATAAACAGATATTATAACTCAAGTACAAACAATTCAGGAAAAGTTCAGCTACATGTGTATAACTATTAGAAAAAGGAAGAGAAAGAGATATTAAGCATAAGGTGGTTTAATTATAGATTTTATAGAGTCAGTAGTTCCTGTTTTCTCCATTACATAGAATATGAAAAAATCAGGACATTAGAAAAAATATAGGAGATTAAACCAGGTTGCAGCTTTTTGTGGCTTGCTGTTTTATGAGTACCTCAAAGATGGTGATTTCTTTTTCCCTTGAGGGATCTGTATTTTCTTTTGCATAACAAGAAAAACAGTCTGCAGAACAAAATGAAAGTAAGTTTTGCAGAATTTATGTCACCTAGCTAAGGTCTGCTGCTAAAATCCTACATCAGCTTTTAGTTTTAAAACTGTTTGGAGGGAAATAGTATGGTAAATAATAAATTTATCTGCCTTCAAACTCAGTTGTGAAATACCTCAGAGAATAGATGGATACAGCTGATGAAGATAAAAAGATGTGTTGGGCAATTTGTCTAAGCAAAACAAGAATTTATAAGACTTGACAGTTTTGGATGTTTATTAGGATTTAGCCATGCTGTAAGGAAGAGTAATTAAAGCCATAAGCAATTGCAGCATGCTGGAAATTGGCATCTGGAGGTATAAGGAGGAGCCTGAGTTGTCTCCACTAGTACAACAAACAATCCTGAAAGGCAGCAGGCTGAACGGAAAGGTTGCATTGTCACTTTAGCTATTGGGGGCCACATTCATTTGATGACTTTTGACTACTGGAAATGGTGAAAAAAATCCAGAATGTTTTGTCTAAAGTGGTAAAATATCCCTTTACTACACCCATGTCCTAAAAACAATTCTCAATTTTTGTAAAATGCAGTAGTTACTACAGTTTTTTGTTTACTTACGTTTAAGAAAAAAAGCTCTAAGAAATAACATTTGCTCTGTGAGCACACCACAGATGCAAGTAATAAATGAAGATTGTCATTCCAGTTTATAATGCTTCTCTATTTCCACTCTTTGTGATAAATGCTATTTAAAAACCATAACTAATGAGACAGAAAGTGTGAGATCCCTTAAGACCTGGCACTGTCTTCAGACTGCTTCTCTGGGGAGCACTATTTTGATTAACTGTCTTCTGTTTCAGTCTCTCTAGGGCCGATATCATACTTCCATTATCAGAGGAATTGTGCAGCAGTAAATCTGTGCTGTGCCAGCCCCTTCCTTTGGTAAGTATAACTTAAAATTCTGGACACCCTCCTTTTTCCCTTGCTGTCTGCTCTGAACTGAACGTACACCCTTCAGAACTGCAGGTTTTCAGAAGGTAAGTCTGGCAAACCTCTTCTGCCTGTTGCATGACAACCAGAAGGTGCACATCATTTTATTACTATCTCTTAGATTTCATCTAAAGGATCCCTCATTGCCAGATATGGCAGAAATGCTTTGAGTTTGGGAGGGAAAACTCATGAGGAGTTGTTTTATTTTACTGGGAGAGGGTGGGATTTGCTCCACCAGACTCCTGTCACAGAATGGGTTATTTCTTTGTCACCATGTTTATCAGTTTTCTGAGAAACCAGCTGGGTGACCAGAGACTCGTATTATTTCTTCATCTGGTCTGTGTTTCCCAGCTGGGTTCAAGGCCATCTTCTGAACACATATGTACACTTGGGGCTATGAAAGAAGGCATATACCAGTTTTTAAGTGGCCTTTCCTCATCTTCACAGCTCCGTCCACAGTTGATCCTGAGGAAGATTAATTTATTCTCTTTTTTAATTTGGCTGGCTGATGGAGATTTCATAATGCATACCTGAATGTGTCACAAACCTGATTGCTGGTTTGAGAGGCCACAGACATCTCTGCAAAACTAGGCTATGGGGAAGATGGGACTACTGCAATGGGTCAGTCTAATCCATGTTGGCATAATGGCATTAAAGCCACAGGGACAGCATCTTGTCTTGCTTTGGTGAAGGTGATGAAAATGCTTACAGATTTCAGCCAGGAAGTCTCCAATGACATGAACAAATACAACCCGAAAACAATGTTTTCACATAGTGCATTCACTATGGCCAGCCCTGCAGAGATACTAGCTTTAGGCAACTGAGAACAAGCAGCCTTAAGTATCTGGAATGCTGGTCGCTACCTTTCACACCAGCTGAAATATTTAACAGTGCAATCCGCAAGGATCATAAATGGGAATATTAAATTCTTGGAAGAGCAGATACAGGAAAATATTTCTCTTATGAAAATCATAAACAAATGCAGTTCCTTCCAAATCCTAACATCTTCTGAAACTGTTATCTGAGCAGAAACATCTGTGTCTCGGCTAGACCAAGTCGCTTTTAATATAACACAGCCTCTGATTTTCTTCCTCCCTTAATCTGCTTTTAGCCTTTTCATCTGTGCCAAAGAACTTTCCAATTCTCAGCTGTACGCTACAGCCACAATGACATGTTGAGATGTGGATGATCTCCTCCAGGGAGTACTGGCTGTACTCAAAAAGTGTAGGAGAACACAGGTTTTTGTGGGGGAACAGTGCAGTTGAAATTTTTATGGAAGAGGTTAGTATTCAATGTGTTACCCCTGGATTATAACTGCAAGCAGTCCTAAAACAGTAAATGAAAAAACCATGTCAGGAAAAAGAATACTTTGGATAATTAGATACTGCAGAGTTGAGAGTGGATGCCCGAGGCAACGGCCTCTGTCATTCCCCTATCTCCCTTCAGAACATGCTAATGGAGGATAATTAGTCCTATGAGTGTCACCTATTTCTGAATTTTGCAGTTTCCTACTCACACTCTGCCTCATTTTTTAGTATCTTTTCTGGAGATTAAAATTTAACACTTTATCTTCACAATATATACAGAACCAGAAATGTGCTACATTTTCTGTGCTGGATATTTCCACTGAGGTCCAAGGACCCTTTTAACAGGTTTGGAAAAAGACGCTTGTTCTTTTTCTGCCAGTATTTGAAAAGTGGCTTCTGATCTGGGGTGTTCGGGTCCAGATAGCTGCTACAACCTAATTACTAAGTAAGTAAAATATTCACACCACTAGAGGACACATGAGAATTCCTTATTCTTACAATGGTAGTTGCTGATGGCTGTTCTCCTCCTGAACCCTGCACACTGTAATAAAATAGGCGTGGATTATGGTCATGCATACTCATAAAGTGTTTTAACAATGCCGGATATGTGGACGGACACAAGAGGACATGTAGGAAACAAATCCTTACCAGGACTCCAACTTGAGCGTAAATGAAGAGCAACAATCACTTTCTCTGGAGTTGTGGCCTTCTGTCTTGTTTTATTTTGGGTCTCCAGTAAATTTACAGCAGCAGAACAGGCTCCCCAATACAGCAAATAGTAATTGTTGGTAATAGATTTCCTTTTGATATCCCAAAATGATACCCAGGTTCTAGGATTAAAACTGTTGCTGTAGAGCATCCTGCTGTGAACAGTGGAACAATCACAGTCACTCTTCAGTTCACTGTGGAGGAGAAAGGGAAACCCTCTCTGAAACAGACTTAAGGCTGTTCTTCTCACCTCTTAAAGAAGTGTCCTCTCACGTTACTGCAAGGTCTCTTCTTTCTCACCGCTATTTGCACTTTGACTGTTGCCCTGAAGGGAGGGGCTGCAATAGAGGGAACTAAAGGCCTGGACTCCTCTCCTGCTTCTCTCTGAGGTGCTGGCCCTTGGGCAGTGGTGAAATTAAGATCTTTTCTGGGACAAGCTTTAGGCAACAATCCTAAAGTGTAAGGTAAGCTGGTAGATACCATTCACTACCTTACAGAGGCAATGGGAGAGACTGGGCAGCATCTGGAGAAGGGCTGGAGGAACTCCAAAAAAAGGCTTAAATATTTCTAGTGGTGTTTGAGGTTAAAGTCTGAGGCCCTGGAACTGCATATATTGCATAAAAAGTTTTAACTAAGTAGCTTCACAAGATAAGTAAGCAGAAGCAACTAAGATCCACCCTGGACAGTTGCTACCACCACTTCTGCGTGATGGGGGAGAGATGATGGATTGCATTTGTAGGTCAGACTCAGAGAACCCGTAGTCCTCCCTGGGTGTTTTGTTAGCAGAGTGATGTGCTATTTTTCCTGTTAAACCTGAAAGTTACACATTCTCTTCATACACAAAATCTTTCATAAAAGATAAGGACCAAACTTTAGAAGCCAAAAAGTTTACTTTTAGTCCATCGGTTGAAGCTTTCAGCAATAAAATTGTGAATAGTCTAGTTGCTATGGACACAGCTCTGACACACATTTGGGGTGTCTATGAATAATGCCAGAGACTGCACCCAGACTTCCTACTGCTACCCTCCGCCACCGCTGCTGCTCGTTTTTTTGGAGCCTTGCGAGAATAACCAGAGCTGGGACAACACTGCCACCTGCTGGTGAGCCAAACGAATGCTCCTGCGTGCTGCGCTGCTCGATTCCACCGCACATTGCCAATCGCATGACCCTGTTCTGTGGGAATACCGGTGTTTACCTTTACGTTGAAGGTCACAATGCACTGAGGTGCTGTCAGTAGCACATTCAGAGATGACATAATTTCTTTCAACGTCTGTGTTATTTACACACTAAAGATTTTCCGAGGTTCGCTTAATGAGTTATACAGTGGCTTTAGTGATGCAGCTTTTGTTTATGTTATTTATATTATTTTAATATAGTTTTTAAATTGAGGCTGATTCTAAGTCACATTTCAACAAAACATTTGCCTTTGGCTAAGAATACATAAAAGTCTAGTATGGATATCACTTCATTATCCTTATAACCTTCACTTAAAATTTGTGGATCTCAACACTTGATATGTCTTAACACATACATTTGCATGTACTTGACAAGGGTGGTCAAATGAGTGATCACAAGAAGAAAAACTGCAAGAAAAGCAATTCTGCCCAGGAAACATCTGCAGAAGAATATGCCCCTCCTGTTAAGGATAGCTCACCAACACACAAAAAAAAGGTATGACTCTTCCAGTACCATTTTATTACCATGATACTTACCATTGTCTTCACTTTCTTCCATACTTACAAAAATAAAAAGAGGGAGTCAAGAGGGAAATGTTGGTAATTACAACAGTGAAATAAGTCAAGTTTGCAGTGCACTGATCTAGAGGGCTAAGAACACTTCCAAGCTTAAATAGTAAGTAGGGAAATAGGAGAGTACTCTTAGAGGGAGGACTATCTCCATAGCTTATTATTTGTTTCCAACTTGAAATTGGATGGTATATGATAATGGACAATGATGAAATGTAAGCATATTTGCTGCACTAAAGACCAATTCAAAAGTAGAACTGTCTCAGTAATGTAGGTGCAAGAGATTGCCCTACAAGACTTCAGGACGATGCAACTGACAATGAACAGCATCTTTTTAAGTAAATGCACTTAAGTGCATGGATATTTCTAAATGATTTTATCAGCAGATTAGACTGAACTGCCACTGCTTGCCCTGTGAGAAGCAGTGAAGACATTCTCTTGCTTGTGAAAAATCACTGTGTGCTCTGAAATGAATGACACCCTCCGGGAATGGCAAGTCAGCTCCATAGACCTAAGAGGAAAAAAGACAAATTTGTATATATGTTTATGCCTTTGCATAATGAATGACAAGTGTATGTTAGATGTCCACAATCAAAGAGAAATTGGTCCACACAATGCCCATGTTTGTTTGTACTGACTTTAGACAATATAACTTAGAATGGGAACACTAGACAATGCAACTTAGACATGACTGTAAACATACATGGGCTATGTGGAGTGCCAATACACAAAGCTGATGTTTTGACTTCCAAATATGTTTGGCAGCTTTAGCTAACTGCAAACATGAATTCCATAAACTAGGCAAGAAAATGTCACCTTCTATTTCTCAAAAATCGTGCTGAGTTTAGCCTCTCTACTTTTTCTGTGCTTTTTTCATATTTCTCACTTATGCAAATGCTTCATTACTGCACTAGTTTCTCTTCCAGATATTTATCTTGCCCCCAGACTAAATAAAGATGAGTTCTAGGCATCTAAGGGAACAGTGAAGATAAGGACGAATTAATTTGAGATGCTCATAATCATAGTACTTGTTTTTACATTGTCAGTAAAGTTGAAGAAAAAAATACATTAATCTGCCTCCCACAAGACAACTTCCAAACTCTATGCCACTGTACCAGAGTCATGTATTCAGACTCATGGTTGTTCCCTCTCCTCTCAGGATGCACAGTAAGTCAAAGCAATACTCAAGTATAACAAGCAAACACTTTAAACAAGGTCATCTTAATTTGATTGAATTTTGCTGTAAATTATCAAGAATAGTAAGCTTTATGTCATTTGTAAGCCAGTGAGGGCATCTGACAGCTAATAAATATTTGTTCCACTTGAACTAATTACAGACTTTTGGTTGTTTACTTACAGCAACAACTTGAGAAACAACTAAAAAGCTTAGCTTTTAAAAATCCAGGACCTCGAGTAGCTGACTTCAATCCTGAAACTAGAGAGAAGAAAAAGCGTGCACACATATCACAGATGAAACATCAATTTTTTAGGAAGTGCAAGTATGATGTGCAAATACATTACATATTTTACTTTAAAAAATGACTGGTATGCTGTTTAGTGAATATAAACGAAATTGAATAAATGCATTAATGTTTTGCAGAGAGATTTCTGCACTCTACTGGGAAAACAAGATTTTTCTGTGTGACTTAAGAGAATTCTGATGTATTTCTTTGTCACATTTTAATTTTTATTACCAGTGTCTGTTGAAATTATGATGTAAAGCTGGTATTTCATCATGCTGTGAGTTTGTTAAAGAGAAAATATTTGTTCCTGGACAGATCTTTTCCACATTAGTTTGCTTTACTCTTTGAACATGTTGAAGCATTTCCTGAGAATCACTTTTTCTGCCCTTTTCACAGAACTGCAAAGAAGTACGACAAATATGGCAGGCTGCTTTGTAACAACACTGACTTGTGTGATTGCTTGGAAGAGAACTGCCCAGGTTGCTTCTATCCTTGCCCTAAATGCAGTTCAAGAAAATGTGGACCTGAATGTCGCTGCAACAGGAAATGGGCTTATAATACAATTAAGACTGAAGGTGGGAATGTGATCAGCATGTTTCCATTTCATGTCCCTAACTGATTTTATTCAGATATTTTTTGTGCCTGAGCAAAGTTCATCTTCCATCATACTTTATTAAACTAAATCCTAGCTTTATGAAGTGTTTCTAATTGAAGTACCTAGCAGTGGGGCTTGTGTTTCTTTATTGCGGCCTACCTAGCAGACTTCAACCTTCCCCATTAAGTAAAATTATGTATTTCACTCTTTCTCATCCTTGCGAGCTTTACTGAAGCATCTAGTTAGTTGTCTCTAACTCCTGACTTTCTAAAACTGAAGGTGTCTGCAATGCTGTGGGAAAACAATTTTTTTACCCTGGAAAGCTGAACCACATTAGCGGTAAAGTTTTTTGTCTGGCCTATTTCATTTACTCTGATGTGTGACACAGCTCTTTCTTTCATGAGTGCTTGTCAAAGTGTCTTTTCCTCCTGAGGCATTCAGTCTCGTAGAGATGAGGCAGGAGTAATTTCAGAGAAAGCTATTCTGTCAGACTAAGTCACTACTTTCCATGTCCCCCTGTGTATAAAACAGAGGGAGAATGGAAATGACTTTATAATTCTTTCTGCTTCCCGGGCTACAAGACTGAGACTAACATGTTCAGTCAGCATTTTTATTTTTTTACAGCATACGACGTGGTCAACCTTGATCACTCATTCATTACATAGCTAAAGCTAAACGGACTGGGTATTTTGTCACCGGATGGAAGTGTCTTCAGTTTCATGAGTTTCCTCTTCGTGCAAGACATGACAGATTTCAAATACTGTAACTTAAACTCAGTCTTCTTACAAGGTAGATGCTGTTATTCATGATGGGCACTCTCACACTTTTTGAGGAATGAGAGTTCATCTAGAACTTGAAGGGGGGACTGCTGAAGACTGCCACAGGCAATCTCCAGGAGTGTGTGCTAGTGAGGGAATCATTCCTTAGGCCCAGTCATTGTACCAGTACATAAAGGGTGGCTACCAAAAAGATAGAGACTCCCTTTTTATGAGGAGTCACATGGAAAAGACAAGGGGTATTGGGCACAAGTTGCTCCTGCAGAAATTCTGATTGGACTTCACAGGAAAATTTTTCACCATGAGAGTAATCAGATGTCTTCCAAGAGAAGTGATGGATTCCTCAACCTTATTCAGCTTTAAGGCTCAGCTTGACATGGTTGAACCAGATGACCCTTGAGATCTCTTCCAACCAAGTGTTCTACAAATCTATGAATTTCTGGTTTGGGGGATACTCTCCCAAATTTGAATGCGTCACCACTTTTCTTCCCTATAAGAGGCCATTCTCTGTGGACAAAGATCTACTGCTCCAACACAGAGAGATCTCTCAGCAGAAGAAACTTCCTGGAACAGATCCCAAGAACGCATGTCAGAGGATATAGGCAACCAGGAATGCTAAGGCCTTCTTGAAATTAAACCTTGCAAGGGAGGTCAAGCACAACAGAAAATGCTTCTTCAAATACATTGTTGACAAAACTAACACTAGAGGCAATGTAGGCCCGCTGCTGAATGGGGTGGGTGCCCTGGTGACAGAGGATGCAGACAAGGCAGAGTTACTGAATGCCTTCTTTGCCTCTGTCTATACTGCTGGAGACTGTCCTCAGGAGCCCCAGAGCCCTGAGGCCCCAGAGGAAGGTAGGGTAAAGGAAGAGTTTGCCTTGGTTGATGAGGACTGGGTCAGGGATCAGGTAGGCAATCTGAACATCCACACATCCATAGACCCTGATGGGATGCACCCATGAGTGCTAGGGGAGCTGGTGGAAGTCATTGCTAGGCCACTCTCCATCATCTTAGGTAAGTCGTGGGCAACAGAGGTGCCTGAGGACTGGAGGAAAGCGAAGGTCACTGCAGTCTTTAGAGAGGGCAAGAAGGAGGACATGGATGACTACAGACTCGTTAGCCTCAGCTCCATCCCTGGAAAGGTGATGGAACAACTTATCCTCAGTGCTGTCTCTAGGCATATCAAGGATTTGTTGTGTCTAGGCATATCAAGGCACATCAAGGATTAAGGGAGTGGAACATCTCTCTTATGAGGGAAGGCTGAAGGAGCTGGGTCTCTTTAGCTTGGAGAAGAGTGAGGGGTGACCTCGTTAATGTTTATAAATTTCTAAAGGGTGAGTGTCAGGACAATGGAGCCAGGTTCTTCTCGGTGATTTCCAGTGATAGGACATGGGACAACTGGTGCAAGCTGGAGCATAGGAGGTTCCACAAAAACATTAGGAAAAACTTTTTCACTGTGAGGGTGACAAGAGCACCGGAACAGGCTGCTCAGGGAGGTTGTGGAGTCTCCTTCTCTGGAGACATTCAAAACCCTCTTGGACATTTTTCTGTGTGACCTAATCTAGGTGATTCTGCTTTGGGAAGTGGGTTAGGCTAGATAATCTTTTGAGGTCTCTTCCAACCCTTAGTATCCCGTGATTCTGTGATTAACACCACAATTTCCTTCTGAGTTGATACCTCTGAAAGACTTGTTGCTCCCTTCAAATAATGACACTTCAGTACTTAAGCTTGTAGCCTAAAAACACACATATATTTGCTATGGTGGTTAAAACATTCTCTGTTTGGCAGTGAAATCTGGTGTTGTTCCTTCAAAGACGAGGATAAGGTTGAGGTGCTTAATGCCTTCTTTGCCTCAGTCTTTAGCAAAAGTAACAACTGCACTGAGGGCAGCCAGCCCACCAGCCAAGAGAATGGGACCAGGAGCAAAATGTCCCCGCTACAATTCATGAGGAGATGGTCAGGGACCTACTCCTCCATGTCGACATCCATAAATCCATGGGGCCAGATGGAATTCATCCTAGAATTCTGAGAGAGCTGGCAGGGGTGCTCACCAGGCCGCTCTCCTTCATTTATCAGCCGTCCTGGCTGACTGGAAAGGTCCCAGCTGATTGGAAGACAGCAAATATAACATCCATCTATAAGAAGGGGAAGAAGGATGATCTAGGAAATTATAGGCCTGTCAGTTTGAGTTCAGTGCCAGGGAACCTGATGGAGCAGATCATCCTGAGTTCCATTATGCAGCACGTGCAGGACAAACAGGTGATCAGACCCAGTCAGCATGGGTTTGTGAAGGGCAGGTCCTGTTTAACAAACCTGATCTCCTTCTATGACTGGGTGACCCGCTTGCTGGGTGAAGGTAAGGCTGTGGATGTCATTTATCTTGACTTTAGTAAGGCATTCAACACAGTTGCCCACAGCATTCTCCTAGAGAAATTACCTGCTCTTGGCTTGGACGGACATACACTTTGCTGGGTGAAAAACTGGTTGTCCAACGAGTCATCGTCAATGGAGTTAAATCCAGTTGGCAGCCAG